ACAAATTGTCCAATTTGTTGCTTGGTTGCCTATTAACCCTTTGGATTTAGAGATTAAAATAACTTCTGACCATATTTAAAACTCGTCCCCACTGGTCGCAGAACTAGAGATAACTGTCTAACGTACTACACATGTTTGTATTGAAGTAGTGGCTCACGTAACCGCTATACATACTTAATATTATGTAAATCGTACAAAAGAACAATATGTCAAAAGTAATGCTGTATAGGTATGTAAATGGACTGAACAAAGAGGGACAAACGTTAGCCACGAGCAGTTACACTGAGTCAGGCTGGTGGATCATTAGCACGCCGCCGCGCCCGCTCCGCTTATCACAGGTCGCGCCGCCCGCCGCCCGCCGCCCGCCGCCGCTCGCAACGTGCCGCGTGCCGCGAGGTGCTGCTGTTGTTCAGCATTGAATCACAATGTGTTATCCGTTGTCGTAATGTGTGTTTATCATTACGTTTCTCCGCAAAGTTTACAAGGAAGTATCTCGTACGCCATAAACCACATTTATTTGAAGTAGTATTTGTTTCATTGCAGCATTTTTTACTTGTATCTTTTTTACTTATAGGATATGTTTTAAAGTACAAACACACTTGTTGTTACAGTACAAAGTACAAATATAGGTCTTTGCTTAATGTTTAGCCTTCAGCAACATAATACAGAGTCGTACATCTCGTACAGGACAGTATTACACTGCGTGCTATGTCCAGTGGAACAAAAACATTTTCTATATAGATGGATTGAAATAAGTCTATATATGAGAGATGTTATTTCCTTTTAAAGTACACTTTGCTGTGTTCTACGAAAGAAATGCAATAAAGTGGGACCATGGCTCGGTATAATATGTACGTGTCTACTTCTATTTGAACGTAATAATATCACAACGTTTATTCCCCGAAGAGGTAGGCAGATCTTATGTTTTATTAAAAAATTGCCTCGTTGATTGGGCTTCCGGGTTTTATTCCCAGGTCGAGTAAACTCTAATAACCTATTAAATAGTATTTAATTTATGTATTCAGACTATTAAGACCTTTTGGAGCAAAGATATGTATCTTGGTATCCGTACATCGGACGACAACGCTACGCTGATCCGATTCAAGCTTCAAACTAATTTAGTTAATCTCTACGAAAAGCGGACAACCGTGCGTCCGACAGCCGGCGGCCGGCAGCCGGCGCGCGGCGACCGGCCGGCGCTGGCTGGAGGCGGCGCGCGCCGGCACGCGGACGCTGCCCACTTAGATGGTACATTACAAAAGCACTCTTTGTATCTGTGCTCGACAGTTTAGTGCTATAAGCCAAATGATATAATTAACACTCGTCGTTTCGAAGTCATTGGAATATGAAATGTATAGTATTACACTGACACTATACAGTTATGCCATTTGTTGAGTGTATGTCCATTAATTTTACTAACTAGTGCTATAACTGAATCATCTGAAGTAGTCACTAATTTATATAAGAAAGCAACCCTGACAACTGTACATGTTACAGTACACATTCATGCACATAAAACCCACAACTTTTGCAATAATTTCGTAAAATACTCTCACAGTAGAAGTAAGTAGCAGCGCGACAGTCGCCGCGTCGCGGGTCTCATGAATATGAGCCTCTGCCTCTAGAGCGTGGCTTGAAACTAGTCGAGTTCCTCGCCAAACAGTCACGTGACTAAGCCGAAAACATAATAATTAAATATTGTCACGATAACAGCAACAGAAAATAAGTCCAATTGCACACACCCTCTGTCCCTATTCTCAATAAAATTAACAGTTAGTTCAAAGGGAGTATTTCTGAGTTTATTTCGAAACTGCAACTCTGGACGAATACTACTCAAGAGAATTGTTATTAAATCCTTTAGCGAACGCGGAAATGTAAAGCTTTTACTCAGAGTTTAATATTGTCTTGGTTTATGTGACGGTGCAGGATAAACTATTTTCCCCTCAAACAAGTTTTACATGGAAACAGAAACTCCGGCAGATCTGCATTCCTGTTCCATACAGTAAGTGCGCCGTAATACCGCCATACATCCTTTGTAAACTTTGTAAGCATAAAACCCGTCTGTACCCCTCTGTCAGAGTAAGTACCTTAATCCATATAGCAGCCGTTTTTTGCAGAACTTCGTTTCTTCTGTACATAGTATAGAGAAAAATGTTTGAACAGTTACAAGTGGAAAAAGCCGACAGTTCACGAACTAAGTAATTTTTAGTAAAATTAGATCAGAACTGTACCTTGTTATCGTCTATTTATAGAGATAGAATGAGGTTCCAGATATAAATTATTGTATTTAGATTAAGCGTTTAGAAATGGATAGTGACATTATTTATCTATTTTACAATTATTTTAGGGTTACCATAGATAACGGCGCGCCGTGCGTGTGAGTTGACGAGGTTGGTTCGGTTAATCTAATCTAATCTAAATAGGTAACACAATCTTCCGCCGCCTGAGATTGACACAACTTCAGGAAACATTCTTCTCTAAACTTCTATCTGCCTATTGTCTGGGTAATGCGGAGATGCGCACGCGCACTTCAGTTAGCCAAGAGTATCACACGATGAAATTAATCACCATCTTGATCGTCGAATTCTATTTATAACTTCTAAACTATAAGTTATTTAAATATAAACATTCTTTCAATTATGTGAGCCGCTGAGCACCATGTGGTATCAATTATATAGAAAATATTTTTTAAATATATTTGAAAGAATTCCTTCTGATATCGACATCTTTATAATATGTATATTGTTATCTATAAGAACTTTGTATGTCAACATATTATACATATTCTTAAATAAGTATTGATGGAGTATTCTACTTGTGATTGTGACTACACACATATATATATACATATATAAATATCCCCGACACTACAGCTATATACTTTAGATTAAGCAGCTAGATTCAATATAAAACTGACTAACGAACAAAATTAAACTTGGAAATAATATAAAGAAATTCTCGACCGATATTTTTTACTTGTAATCCATGGTATTTACTGTTGTGACCGAGCTTTGGCGGGTTCGGGAACAAATTGACTACTCGTGTGACTAACTTTAAATGTTTCAACCATTTTTAAACGTGTCATTCATCTGGCTGGTCAGTGAATGGTCAGTGGCTGGTCAGTGACTGGTCAGTGGCTGATCAGTGGCTGATCAGTGGCTGACCAGCATCAACGGTATCAACGGCAAGCAACGGACATGTTTCGCAGAGCTCACACTACACTCTTTGAGAAGTTCGAAGGCAAGATTTTATGAGCACTGTATAGTGTTTTAGCATTGCGATTAAAATATTAGCAGCACCATTCTGTGTTTAATTTTATTTCACAATTTGTGCTTTACTTTTCCTGTCAGTGATTGAATTAGCTAGTCAGTGTCTCATTCCTAATACATAAACACACAATTTTTGCGTAGAATGACGTTATCTATGTTTATGATCACATCAGAAGAGTGTCGTAGCAGCGCATCGCACGGTTATCAGTAAGGCGCACAGATAAGCGCTGATAATTAGCGAGCACGCCCTGGCCAAAGGAACAGCCACGTGCGCTGCGGCCGGTCTGCTTGCTCTCGCCACTACATGGATAGGCCGCGGCAGGATTGTAATCCTGTGCTCCTCGTGCTACATCGGAAGGTTCCATTTTGCTATGGCTACGCTAAGGTCAATAAAGCGAGAAAGTGTACATCTCCTCGTCATGTATAATCATAATATATATCGGTCAAGGCCATCGTTCGACGCTCGCCTTCGCACCGCTCGCAGCGCTATTCATATCGTGAGCCTTAGGCGCTCCTCACATCGGATGTGCCGGCGACAGCGACACGGCGCTCGCCGCAACGGTTGCCGGCTGCCGGCCGCGGGCCGCCGGACTACAAGCCTCCACTACCCGTGCTAGCGATATGTGGCACCCGGTGCTCGAACCTTGAGATTGTGACCTTCGGGTCACTACTGCAATATATTGGAAGTTCAGTCATTCATATTTCAATTTGTGAAACTCGCAACTGAATCGAGAAATTTGATACTATACATAGTTCAAATACCTAACGCCCGCACCGCCGTTCACATCTTTTTTCGTTTAAAAACATACATACCTATCACGGATTTACCTGTATTAACAGGAAAACAATTTAAATGCGCAAAGTCTGACTCAAAAACAATGTCATTGTCCTTAAACAACCCTTTCTTGATTCTTAGCAAAATAAAAGGAAAGTCGATTGTAACTCTGTTTACTAGTTACCGTAATGTTTACATTAACTAAGGGTAGTTGTAACATTATATTATCTTGCACCAATGTCAAACTGTAACGTAGTTACGTCGGAGTGCGCGAGTTTACAATCACGCATAATGCTAGCTGCTATTACAGCAATCAGCTGACTGTGAGACGTCCCGCCGCGTGGTACTCGCACCACTCGTGACTAGTCGTGACCCGCGCTTGCACCGCCGCAACTTAGCAACTAGGGTGCCGGAAATGTCGCAGTGGTTATCTCGCGGCACCACCCTGGCAAACTGTTCACTTTTCAGAAGTAAGGTCACCCACTATCGATCCGCGCCAGCTGGAGACCGCTCCGCAACATCGCTCGGCAGTCTCGCGGGCCTCGTAAGCATCGTGATCCCACCACGGCGGTGGCTCTCGGCCTGAGGGTGGCCCGCCCGACCCGAAGACATCGGATCGCTTCCGTTTGGATCGGTAGACGATGCGTAGCTACCGCGAGCTATAGGTAAGTAGACGCTTTTCGGGAAGGGGCCACAGGGGCGCGGGTCGATCGAACGGCGGAAGCTTCAATGCGGCAAAGCTTATCATGTGCGGATCCGCAGAGCCGAACATCGAACACGACAAGGCGACTTCACTGACCCAGTGCCCCAACGCGCGGACTCTCGGCGTGCGACCAGCACGCGCGCGCCGTCGAGCGCGTGACGCGCGCCCAGTGCCTATTGCACGACAGATCCTGCACGCAGTTCTCCTGTCCCGCACGTCTCCAACATCAACCAAGAGCTAAGGAAGTACTCACCGTTTCCGTTTATAAGGGGGTAGTCGTCGTCGTGCCGGCCGATGTACGTCTTCAGCGGGGTGTCCGTGAGGGAAGGCGACGATCTATCCCTGTCGCTCATAATAGTCACTTATAACACCGGGTACAGACTCGATACAACAACACTAGACGGGGAGACCGGCCCCGCACGCTCGTCTCCAGTCACGACCGACCTCCGGCCCGCGGCTCGCGCGGCGAATAAATAATTAAATACTGGCAGCGGCAGCTATCCGCGTAGCTCGCGCCTCCCTCCGCGCAATCAATTGCCCGCGGCGTCGCCTGTCGCAGCGGCGCCACCTGCCGGCAGCCGCGGCGTCTCAGTGCGCGCACATAGGTGGCGCTACTCTCAACGCGAGAATGTCTGTCCGCATTTCATTTACTTTATCGTTATTTCTTTGGATAAGTATAGTATTATCAGCACGATCTGTCATCTGCTACCATTAAGGAGCATTAAGCAATAAACGTATATGTATTCAGTTCGGATGTGCTCAATGTTCTCAAATACATCTTCTGTAAGACCTACATCTCAACGAAATCTTTCGTTTCCACCACTGCTGTGTACATTGTCGCGGGTTCAATCCACAAGGAACAACTATTTGTATAATAAATATATTGTTATTTAAGATGTGTGATGTGTTTGTGAACATAGTTCGTAAACGCATTCACGACATACTCGGAGGAGGATATTCCACTTTTTACTCCGTAATTGTTTGTAATTATTTAGGTAGGTATTTCGTAACTAAATAATTAAAAGAACAATTCACTTGTTTCTAAGTACATTATATAACTTATTCATAATTTTATAATGCACTAAACATGCGTTGCAATTAATAATAAAGTTTAGGACACCGACTCTCTTGGTTCATCTATTAAGTACCTACCTATCTGCTTAATTTCATTTTGCGCATGGTTGGCACAGCAGTGGCCGGGCTCAGGGCTGACAAGCTGGCTATATATACAGTGTCACAGGTCCGTTTCATTCTTGAAACACCTCCATAATTATTATTTATAGTTCACAACTGTCGTGGATGTAATTACTGTAAACAACGAGGAATATTGAGCCTAAAAGAACAATATTATAATTGCAAAGTGGTGAACATTTTGGTGTAAATACATTAATGCTATACATAGGTGTAAATATATATTCCAAAATCCAACCACGTTTCGAAATACTCGCATATCATCATCGCTTGCTGCCAGCCAGCAGTCACTAGAGTCGCTCTCTGTAATATTACACGTGGGTTGTAATAACAACCCTGGCGACAACTGCGCGTTGCGTCAAATAATTCTTTTGGAAAAAAATGACATATAATGTGCATAATAACACATAAGACCAACAACGCAGCCACGTGCCGCGGACATTCAGCGGATAAGTATTCCATTCGTTACTACGGAACTTTAACTTTTCAGGGGCAATTTCGTCTCGCTTTTTTAATTAAAATAATGGTACCTAATTATAGTATACTCCGAGACTGAGCACGGAATAATATGTACTGAAATTAATCTTTAAATTTAGATACCTGTAACGAAAAATATTGAAAACTAAAGGTTCCATACAAATGAGGTTCAATATTAAACCGCGTTGATGATATTTGAATTACAATATTTATAAGTGGGCGTTACCTGAACTACAAGAACAAAAAATTGTCAAAATATAACAGAAAGGAGCATATTAGGTATAAAAAGAAGAGACAGAATAAAACTGCAAGAAATTAAAAAGAAACCTAAATTTAAAAATGTACACACGGTCTACAGACAGCTTAGGTGGCGTTGGACGGGACATATGCTAAGGGATAATAGAGACAAATAGACTAAGCTAGTGACAGAATGGTATCCAAGGGACAGTAAAAGAAATAGAGATAGACAAACGAAAAGATGGGAAGATGATATCAGGAAAATAGCTGGTCCAGTATGGACCCGTTTACCTAGAGACAGGGATACGTGGAAATCTTTAGAGGCGGCCTTTGTCGACAGACAAGCTGTTCCACAAAAACACCTAGTTGCATTAGAAAGTAGGCATGTTATAGAAGAATATTTATTATATAATGTAATATTTGATAAGAAACAGCAATTAAGGCTATTTTATTTATATTTATAAGTACCTATTTACTTAATACTGCATGAGGGCAGGTCAGATATTTTATTTAGTTAGTAACCGACTTCAAAAATAAAGTAGATTGTTAATTTGACTGGATGTATGAATTGTAATGAAGTATCAATTATTTGTTATTTTATATATTTATGTTTTTACATGAAAACTAAACGCTTTACAAGTTCGCACTCCACTGTAGATAACGTGTCTTTGAACCTTTATGAACAACACTTGTTTTTCAAGATTCACTTATGTGTAGCTAGACAACTTGCAACGGATTATCAAGGAAGGCGCGTAGAGTAAACTACAAGCATCTTTTAAAATGTAACATTATATATTTGTAGTTGCAGTAAGCGCTACGCCAATTATATTAAAATGTTACTTGTTGTCTTTCACTTTAATTAGGTCTGAACTACTTGTCAGACAGTTAGAGAGTAAGGGTCGTATATACAAGTACTGGTTAAAATCTTTTTATTTATTGACCACACAAATAATGTGTTTGTATCTATGTGTCGCTGGGGTCGTTGTTTTTTCGTAGCAGTAACGCGCGAATACAGAAAAACTACCCGAGTTGTACTTAAATATCGTGCCATCTCTGTCTTTTTACAAACAATTTGTAGTGACAACAATACTTAAACGCGACTTAAGATTGAGTAGCGTTTGAGTATTCGGGTGTTAGAGTACGAGATTTATGCGGAGTCGTGGAGAACCTAACGGGCTACCGGGGCTCCGGCTCGACGTGCAGGAGAAGGAACGGGATGTTTTTTAGTCAGTAACAGTCTGACAGTCCCTCCCGCCTCACCCAGGCGGAAGCAGTCATTCGATGATTTCTCCCCCTTAAAAATAAGACTACGAGATTTAGCTACTTTAAATTACTTAGAAATATATATGCAACTAATTGATTTGTTCATTTTAAGTAAAACGTACGAATTATCATTTAATTTTATTAAAATGTATCACCTACTTATCAGATGTTGTCTGTTACAAAGTGTCTATGATGTCGTCAAGGTATTCCTATTCTCAATCTATGTCGGAAAATATTAAAAAATATCAGCATAAAAAATATATCAGCAGGAGGGTAATGAATAATCACATTGATGTTGACACATCAACCGTGAAGCTTGCCACCAGTCAGCTGGCGTTGTTGCAGCCTGCATCCACTGGAGGCCGTTTGACGGGAAGTATTCAACTTGTATCCAGCCTCACAGGAAACACTTCACTCAGTGTTCACGTCTTCTTTATGTAAATTGTATTTACATTAATCTGTTATGCTGCTAGTGATAGGCAGTAAACTTCCATGAGCACACATTTTTTTAAAGTAGCGACACCTATTGCTTATTTTGGACGTAAAGCTCTCAGAAGGAGGTGTATGTGTTAGGTACTAAAATATCTCTATAGTCGTATCTCTGCAAACAGTTTAATATTAAAGCTAAAAAAGTAAAAGTAACATAATATATAGAAATTTGCTGCCGCTGAGAGTTGTTCGCGGCGATAAAGTCGTTCCACTGCTTGTTTGTGTCAGGAGAGACAGCAGAAGGAGCAAAGGTGGGCGGCGGGACACCGCTAGAGGAAGCCAGCGGCGCGGCGGGCGCGGGCGCCGGCGCCGGCGCCGGCTCCGACTCGGACACATCCTTGCGCGAGCGCCGCGCACCCAGCGCCCCCAGCGCCGCTTTCAATTCGCGCTCCGCCACGCTGGCGCCCGTCGTACGCGTCACACTCTCTGCACACAACAACATCTCGTCAGCCAGTGGAGGTCAAGGTCGAGGAAGGCACTGGAGATATGGGGCACTTTCTTTATGTGTTGCACACATGGGCAACAGCAATAAAAGACATTTTAAAGTTAGTTGAAGTTATTAATGTATACATTTTTATAATCAGACCCCGTCATCATCCCTATTCGCTATTAGTTGTGGTACTGATTCGTAACTGTTATGTTAAATGATTATCCTCTTTAATGCGTTATTAATTTCTAGTTTCTACCTCAATTATTTATAAAGTCGCACAAGACTATCTTCGTGTTGCTAAGGTTCAGAAATGTACAGTTTAAAAATTGTACCAAGTCAGTCAGTCAGTCAAGGTAGTGATTTGTCGATATTTTAAAAAGATGGTAGAATTTTTAAACCGTACATTTTCGCTGAACATACTTTGAATGGCTTACGTACGTATTGATCCCAGCTATTACCCCTAACAATATGGTGCACCATTTACTGGACACCCTATATATCTATCTATCTCTACAATAAATTTTCAGGTAGTGACTTACTACCTGAAAATTTAAATAAATAAATGTACGTACAGTACTCGTGGTATTTGGCATTTATTACTATCGCAAATAAATAACTGCCTCGGTGCTTTAAAAAAGAAAAGCTTAGGAAGCTAGGGTGAAAAATGTTATGTATGTAAAACTCTGGGAGACCTACCATTAGTAAGATGATTGCTAAAGAATCATCATGTTTACAATTATTACTGTTATTTAGTTTAAACTTGTAACCAAACATCGATCGATCTATTATTTTTAAATTGTTTTTAAAACTATTAAAACCCACATGATCATCGATGTCTCAACGTAGTAAGTAATTAAAATTGTACAACCAATAAAATTAATTGTTAAATATGATTTAATTTCTGGTTCCCATAAACAAATAGTCCCCAGTGAGATACAACATTCACTACAACACTTTAAACATGTAAACATATATCATTGATTAGAAAGGTATTAAGGAAAGTACAAGCGAGAGCTATCAGCATGCAAGCGCGGCACGTGCGCTGCGGTCGGAGTGTGCATGCGTCGTCGAGGAGCGCTGTGTCGACATAGTCGCAAACCTGCTGGTCCCAATTGTCGGTGAGCTCGTTGATGTTCTTGGAGCTGGAGACCAACTTATGTCGCATCAACTTCTTCACTCGGATGATTCTCTCGGGATTATCGTCGGAGACCTCGCTCGCGCGCATCCAAGGTATAATACTGGAGGGCGGCTCCACCATCACCACCGTCGGCACGTAGCGCGTCACTTGCAACAGTACCGGCGGCTTCTTCGTAGGGGGGTCGATGTGCAGACCTTCCTTCCGTTGGTCTTTCTTCAAGATGGATAGTCTGGATTTTTCGGCAAGTGATAGCTCCGTGTTGTTGACGTTGACGTTGGCAGTAGTGCTGATTGCGGTGGTGGTGATTACAGAAGTGGTGGTGATACGGATGGTGGTCGTAGTGGTGGTAGAGGGGGTGGTGGAGGAGGGCGGGGTCCGCTGTGTGGTGGTGGTGGCTTGCGACGCGCGGTGGCTATGCTCGAGGAGGTTGTCTGCTTGCTCGTCGTCCTCGTCGTCGTAGCGCTTGCGTCCGGGCGGCAACATGCGCCGGTTGGTCCACAGCTTGTCCAGGTAGCTTGTAGGCGTCGGCCGATGAGCCCTCTCTGAGCACACACAACGAGCGTTTCGTTAGCTTTTCTGATCTTCAAGCTGAGTCACTTACAGAGGACGATCGCGTCAACATTAGCTACAAACACAATGTTGGTCACACTGTCTAAATTAAGTATTACTGAGACTCATCGTAGATGCAAACTGTCTAAAGTATTTAAATCAATGCAGTCATGTAATCACATGTGTTGTGCAATGTACTTTGTGACCACTTAGCACGGACACTTACGGAGTATTTGTAAAAAATGCTGTTAAAAAACTTAAATATTAAAACAATGAAGTAGTTATCTACCGTCACTAGCGTGCATTAGGTCAAATTAAATTGAAAATCAGAATGTCACCAACGTATTCATTTCCTTCCACGACGAACAAGGGTGAACGTGTCTTACTAGCCGTTGGAAAATACTCCCTTGCTCCAACGTGAACTCTATAATAGGAATGATAAGTGGTTGTCTGGACTTACCTGTTGTTCTTCGAAGGAGCGAGGGCAGTTTGCTTTTGATACTATTGACTCTTTTCATGTCATAGTAGTCGTCATAGTCGTCGTACGATTTAGGCTTCAACTTGTTGGCGGGCTGCCCCCTCGCCATGTCCTCGTCTTCATCCTCAACCAAGGTGCGGAAGCGGTCAGCGGGACGCGCGTCGGGTGGCCGGGTGCGGCGCGGTGGCTCCTTGTCCACGTCGCCCTTCATGTGCCGGTCCATGTCCGCCTCGTCGTCGTACGCTAAGTCGAGGTCGCTACTCTTTCGCTTCATCTGTCTGTCCCTCGGTTTCCTCCGGCGCCTAGTGGTAGCTTCGTTTAAAAATTTAACATCATCGTCAAATTCTTTACTCTTATCATCTGGAAAGTCATCTTTATCTAAATGGAAATAGTCTTTTCTATCTATATCACTAACAACATCTTTCCTATCTCGACTATATTTTACTGGACGTCTGGATGGCGACTCTTCGTCTCTAGGGCCCTCATGTTTGAGCCGACTCCGATGCTTGGCGTAGCGGTGATTGGGCCTCAACTTGGGGAATTCCTCCTCGTCCCGCTCGAACTTGTGGATAACGTCTGCAGTCGCACTATCCATGGTTCTAATTAATCCTCTTTGTTTTCTCCCTGGTTTTCTCCACACTTCTGAATCATCGGAATCCTTCATGGGCTTCTCAGTTTTAACTGCAAATCAGATAATAAAATATGTATATAATGTTGGTGTTACTTATTTATATTTTATGTACCTGTATACATAAATTGGAAGTCGTGATGAATAAACATTAAAGAATTAAAGGATTTCAATCGGTACAGTAAAATACTAGTTTGAAGCTTGGTGTAGGCACTTACTGCGTGGTTCCTCTTCGTATTTGTAGTCGGGCGAGGCGGGCGCGTCCGGGGATTGGCCGCGGTAGTCGTCCGACGCCGGCGCGCCACCATCACGTGGCGCGTCGTAGTCCCCGGCGGCCACGCTGCCGTACGCCGGCATCTTCACGCCCGAGTAGTCGACGTAGCGCGCGGCCGACGCGGCCGCTGCGCACGTCAGCGCCAGCAGCAGCGCGCGCGCCATTGCACGCTCCCGTCGCCCGCCGCGCTTGTGTTAATCTCACTCTATATTGCTGACTTGCCACTGTGACTCTCTGTTGCACACACAAATTGCGGCATATTTTTGCAAATGTAACTATAAATTTGACATTGAAAGATTATCATGTGTTTCTATTTGTTGACAGTTCCGGTCAGTCATTATTTACCGGCCTGTATTCTTCTTTAGATTTATCAATAAATGGTGTGACTTTAATGATATATGTTGTAATAAACAATATATCAATCTGCGCCAACAGCAATAACAATATTTTGTATAAAAGATGACAAGGTTGTTGGACAACACGGGCCAGACAGAATCAGCCACGCACGTGTTTCAATAAACTTCATTCATATCACTGCTGTCAAAAGTTATTCAATCTGACTCATACTGTCGAAATTGTAAAAATGATTTTTTATAATTAAATTTATTAAAAAAAGCAATAATGTAACTCAATACCCTCTCTCCAAATCGACGATGAAGTAACTGGTGATACCTACACATTTATTGACGCTATGAGTGGGACAAAAGATAATGTAAACAAACAAGAACAAGACTGTGATTGCTACGCGGATTCACACACGAGGAAGGCCTGCCCTCCGACGCGGAACGTGACGCACCCTCTGGTAGCTAGCAGTTCAGCCTGTGGCGCCTGTAGAGCCTAAAGCGCGGGCCCCGCACCTGCTCACCTCGCCTGTTCTGTTGCAGCGGTACTATGAGTTCACCCAGGAGGAGATGAAAGCGTTGGAAGAATGCGACAGAGAGAGCTTCTACACGCGCTGCTTGCCGTTCAGCGCAGTTCTGGCCACTTTGACATACTCTGCTATAAAGAATGGTAAGTGCACTTCAGTAGTTACGAGACTCGACTCGGAGTGTTCGGTAGGGACGCCACGAAAATTTTCATAGAAGTAAGAACTTGCCTTAATGGTATAAAACATTTTGATCGAAATAGATATTTTTTATGAATTTTGGTGGTTGTTCCTTCCAACGACTTCTTACTTCTATGAATGTTTTCAGATTTCCTGCGCCCCAACCAACACTTTGGCATCGTACCTAAAATGGCGACGGCAATGTTCACGGGCTACGTGCTCGGGCGGCTCTCATACATAAGCCACTGCGACGAGAAGCTGCGGCAGCTGCCGCCGTCGAGCCACCTCGGCAACATCATGAGAAAGTACTACGCCGACAACATCGCCTACAACACTCCGAAGGAACCAAAAAAATGATTTGGTTCATTACAGGCTTAATATTGTGTCGGTCAGTTGTAGATAGTCTGTTGGTGTCTATTGCATTTACAGTTTCAATAGGTAAGGCGTCAGGGTACTGTCCACCAGAATGCACACGTCCGCGTGATCTCAAAACAAAATGAAAGTGTGTAGGAGACAATTGAGGATAAAATAATGTAGAGCCAGCGAGCAACAATTGCGCGTGCGCGTACATCCTACCGCGTTCATATGCGTTTGTTGCGCGTACGCACCAAGTACCTACCTACGGTACAGGGTGGTGCATATCACGAATACACGCGTTCAATGTGCCTGCATGTTTATTTGCCTTTTAATGCAAACAGATGTGTGCAATAAATGCAGTAGCCCTCGTCGGCGCTGGGAGAATGGCACCTTTACTCAAACACACATATTTAGGTATAAGTTATAGGTGTTTTCTCCAGTATTCCAGTTACTATGTTGAAACAAACTGACATAATTACAAAGCCAGTACGATTCGTCTGTACCGTATAGTATTGTACCTATGTATGTAGATAATATTGGTGTTCGTCACAAAACTAGCAATAGATAGCCACTAACAGGAGGTATCTATTAATTATAATTATTGGAAACGGCTGAGTACTGTAGGAAATGCATCGTCGCCAGCTGCTGCAGCTCGCGCTATGAATAATATAGGTGTAATATTTGGACAGTTGTAGAAACTCTGCTTTGTATTGAAACATTAAACGTGTTACACAATGTCGTGTCATTGTTTGATTCCAAAGCTTGGTCCGCTCAGTTGCTGTTTGTCTCCATTTTAGGTACTCATACATGTTAGCACGAGTAAATAATGTAGCTACGAGGTGAGTCGTATGTAGATATATCATTCCTCGAGATTGAGTATCTTAGAAGCTCAAATTCTTTATTGCATTCAGTGTACATAAGTGTTAATAAATACATAAGTTTCAACATGATACCCGGGTAGGGCACGGCAACATATTAGGTAGGTGCACGACAAAATATGCATCCAGTCAGTTGGTATAACAAGCTGTAATTATTATAATAATACTGAGTAATAATTACGTTACCTAATTATTACTTTAATTGATTTCAATAATGTCCTAACATTATGACTATGACTTTTGTAATGACCATCATGAGACATTGAATTAACTAAAAGTTACGGGTTACCCACGTGCGCGTGGGCTGCGCGACATCGCCGCGACCGCGCACGCTGCTCATGACGAAAAGTTCCTCTGTGACTCGAAACTAGTACCTAGGGCTTTCCTCAATATATTTACAAGACCAACGCTAACCCGTTTTTGTTAATTAAATCATAAATGTTATTTGATTATTTTATTACTTCTGTTAATTTTTGTATTTTATTCCTTTGTATGTGTTATATTAAATATTGTATTTTACCGTTGTATATAGGTAAGTACCTACTCTGTTGTTTCTATTACATCACCTAAATTGTTTTGTTACTTTATGTGTGAGTGTATATACCTTACGTACCTATGTGATTCATGTGTAAGTATTACTTCTGTAGTAGGTAGTATATAAGTAAGTCGTATCTTATTTACTAACTAGCTTCTGCCTTCTGCCAACGGCCTCGCCCGCGATCCCAGGGCTAAAATGCCTATGTATTACTTCAGACCATAATCTAACTTTGTTCATTTCATTCCGGTCCCTTCAGTCGTTTTAACTCGTCGAGTACCGGTTTTGTAGACACAATTATAGAACAATAGGTTGCGGTCACCGGTGACCGTTTGGTGTTTGACAGTTTAATATGACTGAGTAACAAACATAGATTCAAACACATAAACTCACATATTTCCACATTTATAATATCGGGTCAAGCTAATTTCAACCATCGGCCCTACAGGTACAGCGTAGTCTATGGATGAGTATTGTAAACGTTCCCCTACCGTGTGTTTTATCGTGTGCTCAGGGCGGCCCTCGCAGTGATGTCACCCGGGTGTTTACTCCCGCCCTATCAAACACAGGTACCTCCCGAAGCTCCCATGTCCGGTGAGAACCTGCGTCAGGCGGTAGGTGAGGACGCCGTAGCGTTTCTCAAGCCACTCGTTAAAGAGGGGACTTACCACTTACCGCTGCAATGGCAGCGAGCCCAGTATGTGGGAAATTACCGGCCCAATTACTCTTCTTCCCAATCTCTGAATCCCCGACAATCCTCAATTCCTAACTCCCGAAAAGGTCGGCAATGCACTTGTAACTCCTGTGATGTTTCGGGTGTCCAGTGGCGGCGCCGATTGCTTACCACGTGAACTATCAACTCCTTTACCAGATTTTCCCCACAAAAAATATATTTTCGCGAAAAGATTCAGTGACGGAGCACTTGAGAAGTCTCTGTGATTCCGTTCCAAGACCCGCAGCGACAAAGCACGAGTTAAGTAGGTACCTATTCTTCTAAATATGCTCTGCTCTAAATGCCAAGCCAAAATAACTATCGCATTCGTAATGTAAAAAGTATCGAGACGTCAAAACGGAAATATTTTTCAACTTTTATCTACACGTTGAATGCTACAACAAAACAAGGTTCTAGAAGCGCGCTGGAGGAATATAGAGTGACATTATTATGTAGACCAAAAAATGTAGTAGTTTTTTTTGTTTCTTGAATAGCAACCGAGTCTCAATACAGTTTTGTCAACTATTCTGCCAGTGTCGAGTGGTGACGGTAGACTAGAGAACCGTCGAACTTGAACTTCCTAGAATTTGTTAGTAGCTGAAAGAGACTAAACCATACATCATACACTGATAGTATAAAGAGGACACATTTGATTTTTTGTTTGCTTGTTTGAATTGAATAGGCTCCGAAACTACCGGACCGATTGGAATCCAACATTATCGATGACGATCATAATAGCCTCATAGGCTATATTTAATACTAGCGACCCGCCCCGGCATCTCACGGGTGCAATACTTATGTAAAAATATACTACGACTATCTTCTACTACTACTTAAATGTCCTTATACACCACTTTCACAGCTATTTTGTCATTAGACAATACAAACATGTTTTATACTGATATTGTCCTCGTTAGAGAGCTCCGATAAACCGCGTGTGATCGCTGCAAATCATGTGGTGCTCTAGGACGAAGCGCGGCAATCAACGCCGCAACAAATATGTCCCTGCATTTTAAATTTGTAATATCTTCGGAAATATTTACTTAAATTACATGCTGTAAAAAGCATTTTGATCTATGATAAATGCACAATTCATTTAAAGTAAGTACTTGATTGGATAAGGATTAATAATAATATAATAATAATAAGTCATTTATTTCTGAGTGTATGGTATATACAAGGTCTTAATTTTAGAATGAATCACATGCACTACCGTTGCCGATTAATGCTGTATTGTTTAAAATCACTTCGTAAATAACCATTGGTTATGGTGGTTATCCCTAAGAGATATACATAATACCATCGCGGACTTTTTGTTGAACTTTTTAAGGTGGTCAATACTGCAGTACATTAATTTGGTCTATCTCGTAGGGTACAGCCAGCGTTTGCAATATAAGCGCAAAAAAACGTGCTGATTTACGACATCACTTTAGAAACCTCTAAATTTATCAGTGTTACTCTACTATATTATGCATGTATAATACATATAAACCTTCCTTAAGAATCACTCTATTTATTAAAACCGCATCAAAATCCGTTGCGTAGTTTTAAAGATCTAAGCATACATAGGGACAGACAGACGGTGGATAGCGATTGTTTTATACTATGTAGTGAAGAATGAAAAAAGGAACCGTATGAAAATTTCGATAGTGTAACCCGATGTGTGAAAAATGGACCAAAAAACTCCTTATATTGCTTAAGCTTTTGACTACCAATAGAAAACTGTTTTTAAGGACTAATAATAGTAGTTAGCTCCATCATACACAAGGATTATAAAGAAAAAATATGAATTCAATTTACTGAATACATTTTATTCTTGGATTAACTTCTGCACACGGTTTCGCTCGCGCTCTTTACAAAAGATAAAAAAGAATTGGTACCCCTTGTATTGCTGGTGTACACAAATATGATACTAATTTTAAGTTTCTTGAATATTACGAAATGCTCCATGCTAACTTTCACCCCCTGTTTTAGGAAAGTGTTGGGTTAGAAAGAAACAAAATATAGCCTGTGCCACTTTCCATTCTTTCAACTACCTACGTATTATTTTGACTCAATTAAAAAGTCACGTCAATTTCTAACAAAACAGACACATACATTTATAATAAGTATTAAGTATACATTCCTATTTTATCTGGCATATTTTTGACAAGTGAGTACCGCCGACAGTATGGAGCAGAAGGGTGGTGGTGCTGTTCTTCAAGAAGAGCGATAACACTCTACTGAAAAATTACAGACAGTTTTTGAAGGTCATCACGGATCGTCTCACACGTATGTTCGATGACTTCCAGCCTCCCGAACAAGCCGGTTTCCGGAAAGGCTACAGTACCATAGACCACATCCATACGCTGCGGCAAGTTATACAGAAGACCGACGTGTATAACTTGCTACTACGCTTAGAGTTTGTGGGCTATGAACGAGAACTTAGAGCCATGAATCGGTCGGCTCGACCGGAGTGATACCACGGCCTCATAAAAGACCAACGTGAAATAACGCTTGCGTTGTGTTTCGTCGCGTGAGTCTTCACTCACGGCCTTTGGGCCTCCGGTAAGAGCTTACCGGAGGCCCAAATACCCCTCCCTCCTTTCCCAAACCTGAATCACCAACAATCTCCAAATTTCTAATCCCAAAAGGCCAGTAACGCACTTGTAACGCCTCTGGTGTTCCAGGAGTCCATGGGCGACGCCGATTGCTTACCATCAGGAGATACGTCTGTTCATTTACCGGTTTATCCCATAAAAAAAATAAGATCGATCGAGACTTGAGCAGTGTTAAGATCTCTCCAGTATTGCCATATTGACTATCAGTACATCAAGGTTTTGAAGTAAGTACTTGTACACAAACGCCACTACCTACAGGACCGGTAAGACAAGGAGACGTCACATGTCCAAAACTGTTTACCACTGCATTGGAAGACGCCTTTAAGCTTTTAAAATGGATAGGATCTGGCATCAACATCAACGGCGAGT